ATCAACAACTATACAGTGTAAGGATAATTAAAAAGCAAACACAGTTCAGGAGATTAAACGAGCGCGAATAATCTTTCAAAAGGCTAGCAAACGAGCGGCAAGAAAAGCGTAGGCGTCGAGCTGACATTTCTGAGGCGAACCTTCTGAAAAGGCTGTTTTTCCCTAGCACGCGTTTCACGCTTTGCTCGTCCCCCTAGCGACCACTCACTCATCCCGAAACCAGCACGTCTTCCGAATATTTCAACCGATCGAAAATGTCATCCGTCGAGGACACTCTGCCCTTTTCTCGTCTCCGTTAACAACGACCGACTACGATTCGTACGGATCGCTCGGCTCGAAGTTGATTAAAGGAGCCTGTAGGCGGTGCGATGCCTCTCAACCGAGAATGCTGCTTAAAGATGAGGAAGAAAAAAATAAAAAGAATCGAGCCTTCAAAAGGTGCAAAGAAATTTGAATAACGACTTAACGCGTCGCCGGATGACATCTGTTCGCGAGTCTGAATAAATTCGTGCTTCTTAGATAAGGGTGCAGCCCGCAGAGGGAAACCGCTACGAGGACATTTTACACAAGGAAACTTTCCGTCGGCCAAATTAATCACACGTGACTCCGCGCCAGCTCCACGACGCGTTTAATCCGCCGGAATTTACCGTGCCTCCAAGTTTACGGCACTTTGGAATTCACGGTTCCGTTTTCCACGCAATTAGCGTCGGCAACCGACCACTGTGCTCTCATCTCAGCCGCAATGTTTTTTCAAAGAATTTCGATGCTTCGAATCGTTTGCCAACCAGGCTCTTCGCTAACGTCGATCGATAACGATTAACTAAATTATTCGATGAAATACGTTCCTAATGTGGAGCCAAGAGACATTATGTAAATGGGCCTTGGTAACGAGCCTGGCTGTGAGCGAATTCGATAAGAGAATGAACGGTGATAATGACTGCATCTCTGTTTAAACTTAACGTCGAACTCGAGTGACACCGATTAAAGGAAGAGATTCGAATATCGAAGAAAAAGGCAATTTTTAGGAAATATTTCTATATGAGAAAATAATGTTTTCCAGAAAATCAATCTAGAACTCGTTTAGTACGCGTGCACTTGATTACAGTTCCAACGAATCTCGCTATAAAATATTCATACTTCCATTTATATTTGTTGCATTCGGTATGAGATTGTAAAATTTATTGAACAAGTTGTGCTTTGTAAATGCATCGAATTTTGTCAAAACTGACACGTTGAACGTCGGTGTTTCCAATTTATACTTTCCATTTATCATTTCTTGAATTATTCCAGTTTTGAAAAAGAACATTCCAGTGTAAATATCTCATTAATAAAGTTCTCTAACGAGTAAAATATAGCAATATTCCAACGCAGCAGTTTGCAACCCTTCAAAATTCAAAAATTCCAGTACCATCGAAGATGGTATATTCTGTAATAATACAATTTTTACTTTTTAAATTCCATAAAATTTAGAATTAAAAAGTATGAATAATAATACAAATATTAATTCAAATTCTCCCACATAAATATTTATACGCGATTGGTGATCCTCTATAGAATTATACCTATGGAGCCTCCCCCCCTACATCGTCATTCTCCCCGTGATTACCTATGGGGTAAGATGGTAGCCCGAAGAAACCTACAGAAGAGAGTCCTCTCCAATTTTCCTAGGAAAGCCTACCTTGCTCGATACTGTACAATCATCAAACAACACTAAAATTCTTATACTATACATCCGAGAAATGATCCCTGAACCACTAATCGAGAAGCATTATTCTATCGTACAGTAATGTTCATTAAATCGTAACGAAGGTTTGTCGGGAATAGCCAAAATGATTGCGACCAAGGTAATTTAATATAAATGGATCGTGGCTGGCCATTATCCTCGGGACAACAGTGTGTACCTGCATCCTGGCGCAGTGTGTATCCGTGCACACGTTGGCAACGGTGCTATGCTATTCGCACCCTTGTTCTAAGAGCGGGTATCTGCGTCTAATCGATACGCCTAACCTCTGACCTATTATCGCAGCCCGCTAGTAAGTTCTTCGTAGATATCGTTGCGCAAGATTTAGTTCACAGCGGGTTCTGGGAGTTGTTCAATAAATCGCCCCCCAGCTACGTACGGTCAAAGGCACTTCCACTGGGTGCACCTGTCGACCATCTCTTTTTTAAAAATAGTGGAACGACGACGATATGGCGGTTGTATGGTGATTCCAGATTCACTCTCTCAGTGGATCGGATACAACGACCGTGTTCCCTTGTTTCATCGCGAATTCTCGCGTACAGAATGTCAACGAGGAATGATGAATCGAAGGACAATTTTGTGTACCAGCTGAACCACTTTGTTCACCGATCGTTCATCGGTCCAGTCGGAATAAAATAACACGTTCCCTGACTCGGCAAGTCGAACTTATTAACAGACAGAAACAATAATTTACTGTATCTCGGAGGATTAGCAAAGTTTTGCTGCTTGTCAGGATCTTAGGGAGTTTCGATGGTTTCTAGAATCGGAGGGAATTATGGTGACTCCAGGGACCTCCGAGGTCCCCATTGGTCCCAAAGGAGTCGAAAACTTTAGCGAGCTTCAGATGTGTCGTGAAATTCTAGGGATTCCATTAATGCAAAGCAAATTCAAGGATTCCACATTTACGAATGGCTCTATGGTTTCGAAATCGCTCTGGGAATTGTAAATGGTTCCAAAGGTATCACAGGGCTCCGAGACGTTAATACCCTGGAATTTTTAATGGATCTTAAGCAATCGTGAAATTTTTAAACAGTCCTCGAGATTTTCAAAATCCTTTAGAATTTCTAAAATTCATAGAAACTAGCTAATACAAATATCCTGTATTTCAACAATAGTCAGCATACAATTTATCAAAAGTAATTTAAAATGAAGAAATCTGAAGTAATTCTTCTTTTAACGATGAAGAAATAATTACAGATTGATAACTTGGTCATTGATATTAGAATCAGTGCAATTACTCAGGTACCGTAATGAGATGCGAGGTGTCGAATTAGCAATGAAAGGGAAAGTCTCTCACATTTCAATGTAACATCAGTGATCACGGATAACCAGAGCTCGCACATCGCGTTACCCATGTCGCATCGGTAAATTAACTTCGTCATGCGGTAATTTCTATTACAGTCTATCTCGATCGTGCATTCGGTTGACAAAGATCGCGGCTATATCGTATCGCTCAGCACGAACCTCGCGATTCTAATCTGCGTTCTAGTGCACCGAAATTGTTACGTTTCTAAAGGTTTAAGTTTATAAAAAAAAAAAGGCCACAGAGAATTGGATCGGGCAAAGATTCGAAGTCGAAGGCAGATTGGCTAACCGAGTCCATATCTGCTGACCCGTTAAGTCAAACCCAGACGCTCTGCATTTTATGCGTCTAACCTTGCATACGAGCTTCTTCGTGCTCGAGTACGTTACACAGACTGTTACAATGGCTGCTGGTTTGGAGAGAACCGCCAGCAAAACGGGAGATAAGAGGTGGACGATAAATTATCGCGAGGATGAGAGAGGATCGTTGGATCCTCGTATCTGTGATTGCAAAAGCTTCTGTGTCACAGATTTTTTTCTCATTTTTTAATCCTTTCCCTATTATAATTCATTATGAATAGTAATTATAGTCCTTTTAGCTATTATCACCGATTATAATCTATTGGCTGTCGTCTCTTGCATATAAAAAAGTCTATGAAATAAAATGCAATATATTCAATTTATACTAAAGAAATTTATTGCATAATTTAATCATCTTTAAATGAAAGGGTCAAAAGATTTTAGAAGAGAGAATTCTTTGAACCTATTGGGAATTTGATTAACTGTCTGTTGAAAAATCCCACAAGAATCTAATTTCAGCTTTTGTTCAGCAGTGAAATTTTCGATAATTGTTTTTGTTAATACCGATTTTAAAATACATGGAAAGCATACGTTTTCGGATTGAATAAACAAAAAGGCTGCAAATTGACGAACAAAATCCATGGATTAATAATACTTCAACGACAGGCTTCGAAATATAATTATCTCACGCCGTTTCGCGTCATTGACCATTTAAAAACCCATCAACTCGTCAAAAGCGTATTTTTTTTTTTTTTCAATTTATCTCGACGCGTGATCTTGTTTAACGTTATACGGTAACACATTTGGCGAGCTTCAAAATCGATCCCTCCGTTGACGCATGAAAATTTCGAGCATTCGCGAGACAGAAAATTTACGTTGCAATCGCGACGAGAAGCCACGAGAGGAGCAAAAAAAAAATAAAGTTACCGTCCTAAATTTATGGTCGCCTCGCTGTTTCATAATTAAAGCGCGGTGTGCACGGTACACAGAGGGATCGAGGATTCTTTTTTAAAGTTCGTCATAGCGTACGAAACTTTAATATCCACGACGTGGCTCAAACGTCGGACTTTATATACCCTATATACAGCTATCTGTAAGTTTTGAAACGCTTCAAATAAAAAGTCAGCTATCTTTTAGGAAAATATGGTCCTAAGCTTTTTTTATTGTAAAATTATATATTTTTGGAAGCATTCATTTTGTATTTACGAAATTTCGCCATTTTTTTATTATGTAAAAAATCATGAAAACTCTAAGAATCTTAATTATGATAATAAAAATATAATCCTAATTCTTTTTTTAATTATAGAACTATATTTTTGAAAAAATTAATTTATATCTAAACAATTTTGCCATCTTTTTATCACATAAAAAATCATTAAAACACTTTAAAGATCATAATTGCTACATGACGATGGACTTACATCAAATTTTTCTAAGAAAATTTCAAAAATCCTGGACGCCACTATAGAACACATCCTGTGAATCGTAACTCGTGGCACGTCGGTCATATTAAAAGTGTTTCCCGCGTGTAAAACGATGCTCGTGACCAACCACCGTCGCTCTCTCCTACCCTCGTTCATCCTCGGTTCAACATTTCCTTTTTTTTCCCCCCCGTGTCGGCAACTTTCTCAAAATCGTTATCCTTTTTATATTGCAGAACCGGCGGAGGCAGTATGCTGGGTGACGTCAACATCTCCGCGATATTGGACGCGTTCTCCGTCAATTACGATAAAAGAGTAAGGCCGAACTACGGAGGTGAGTAGGGAGACACGAGATTTCTTTCCATCCCCCCCTACCCCTATTATCTCACTTAACCCCCGCCTATCGATAGTCTGATCATTCGACCACTGTGTGGTAACGTCGATATCGTGAGCAAAACCGCAATCACCGAGCAATCAGGCAACGATTAACACCGGCAAACGTGAGAACGGCTTTGATTAAGTCAATCCAGTTTGTTCATTTCGCTTGTAAACGGAACGGTGAACGGTTTCGCTTACGATGCTCGATTACTTTCGCATACCTGCTTACTCGTCGCATTTTTCTGATAGTCGTTGCACGGACTGGGCGTATCGAAAGTATTCGTTTCGCAGCTAACGAACGTAAACGAGAAGCTGATGGAGAATAAATAATTACGATCGAGTTCGTTCGCTGCGAACCACGCTGCGGAGAAGATCTACAACGTGTGCTTGGTATAAAGTGTTAATTGAAACGAGATTGGTTAGTAAACGGTGCTGGAACGTGGCTCGATAACAGATGGAATCGATCGACGAGAATGAAACTGAAACTGATCGAAAACGTTTAAACTCGAATACCTCTTTTTTTTTTTCTCTTCCTTCGATTTATTTTTTTTCTTTCTCCTCTTTTTTTTCTGTAACGAGAGAGAAACACGAGGGAGAAGGACGTAGGTAAAAAACAGCTGGATGAACGAGCACGCGGCCCGGAAACGTTGATCGGGACACGACAAAGGGATAAAAGCTCGACGACAACGCGGAGAAGAGGCAGAACGCTCGGGGAAATATTTTTGACGCCGCTTACTCTTTCGTCGCGGACGATACAGAAAAGAATATTCGGGACAATAGGGAGCAAGCTCGTGGGCGTGTACTTTGCAGTGTTGAAAAAGCTTGGCCCAGGGACGGACACGGAGAATGAAAAATCCGCTTCGTCCTGCCTTCGATCTAAAGCGGGCCAACTAATCCGTTGTTCTCCATCCGTCAGATTCGAAAATGATGCCCTTAATAACCGGCGACGATCGATGAAAAGAAATCGAGAGAAACGTTCCGTTTCCATCCAGCTTCGTTTCATTTCGTTCGTTAAATTCTACACCTTCGTCGACAAATAATTGTTCATTTAAGTATGAATAAAATCATTTTTCAATTGGCTAAATAAGTTCGGTTTCCACTAAAATAGGTAACAGATCCTTATGAAAGCTAACCCAGATATGGCTGACATAGCGCTCAAAGTGTTGAATAAGGTCACATCTTCCACAGTTCACCTATCCTTCAAAGTATGAATATTGAATTCGCGCATCGTGTGTAATTATGTTCGCAAAAGGTTATGGGGTGGGTCGTTTTTCGAAAAGTGATACTATGCTCTTCTAACCCTCGGACGGCGGACCATGGAGAGAGCCTGAATTTCAATTTAATTTAATTTTATATTTCATATCATTTTCATCTTCTAAATTTTACACCGTTCTTTTAAAAATTATTATGAATATATTTTGTATAAAAATCATACATTTGGGTCACGATTGACCCAGGTTTCGTTGTTCAAGGGTTAAACAGCGGATGTACGAGCAGAGTAAGCTCGTGTTTTGTACAACTTTACCATAGCTGATAGAAAAGGAAAGTTGGTTCGTGAGATAGTTTATGAACGCAACGAGGAATTTAGACGCGTATCGATGAAAGGGAATGGGAAATTTTCAATTGCCGCGAAAGTCGAATTTTCGGGCGAAACCCGTGGCAAGTCAGGGCGGGGCTGGAGCGCTTCGATAAAACTTGGATCGATGCTGGGACGCGGCACGGGTTGCCACGGGTTACCGTTAACGGCATCTCTGCTTCAGCTACGCTCCGCCACAGAGTTCTTCACCTTCGATTACAATTTCAACATTGATTCTGTCAGCCACGAGCCTCCTCTCCGTCATCGTGTACCTCGTCAAGCGTTCTTAACCCTTTGAGCGGCGACATCTCCGAACGCGAACGCTCGACAGAGACTGGAATCAAGGGAAACCGATCGTCCGGTCGAGTTCGTCTTTGTTTCTTTCTTCGAATCTTCACCGGCATCCAAATTATCAATCCTTTGGATTTCTATCTTATCTGATATTTCTCTTTGATCACAATTCGTGAATGCAGATAAAGAAATGAATAACACTATCATAAAATTTCAATATTTTCCATCACCTTCATAAAAAATTGTATTAGAAAAAAAATGAAAATTTTACATTCATGAATCTGTCATAAGAAGAAAGATGTAACCCGTTCATTGAATTGGTAAAATTCAGTGGATTTTCCAAGTTATTCGACTACTCCTCCGAAAGGATTCACCCAATACTGCACTGTTCGGTATTTTCGGGTAAAAGAGGACGTTACCGAGAAGAGACAATAAATCGCAAGGTAACGGGATCGTTCGAGGGAATCCTGACGGAAAATTTCGTACGATTTTCGTGGAGGGCAGAAGGGAAACGGTAAATAGGCTTTATTTATTCGCCACCGCCTCGAACGTGTAATCATTTTCGTTCCGTCCCTGATCCCGTTCTGGGACAGTTCCAGCATTGACTGCTGATGCTGGCCCCGAGCCACGGTGACCCACGTAGGCATACCACAACCGCGGTTTCTTGCTCTTTTCCCGCGAGAGACAATACCGGTGCAATTCAAGACACCGAAAAGTATGCCGACCGTGAGAACCGTTCCGAAGTACAACCCCTATATCTGTTCCCCTTGTTCCGCTCGAACGATCGATTTCCTCGCTATTGCAAACTTACCACCGTCGAAATTTCTCGATCTATCAACCCTTTCGAAAATATTAAAAGTCAAAAAAAAAAAGAAAAATATACTGAATTGAGTAACCTCCTCCTTTTTCGAAGTCGGTTAAAAAATGAAGGATTTTCTGGGAAGCTAATTTTAGATGAAATCTCTTGATTTTCCCGCGGGACGTAAAGGACTCGAAACAGAATTACTTTTGCGGCGAAAAAGCGTATAGATCAGAGTAACCGGAGTAGATAGTCGAGGTAGAATTTATATTTCGACGCGAACACGTCGAAAGCTTCATAGAACTCTCGGAATCTCCAATCTCCCGTGAAGATACCAGTTAACGAGTTCCTCGGGAAAAAAAAGAGCTCCCTCAGTTTCAACGGGATTGATCTTCACGCAACGAACGGGCCGCGGAAACTCCCGGGATCGTAAATAAAGCCGGAATTTCGTGCGGAATTCGTTGTTTCGAGGCGCGGCTCGATATCGCGTCCAATAGAATGCATTATTCGCCGCCGTACGTCTCGAATTTATCGGTGCCCGGTAAAAATGGCTATAAATCCCGGTGAGAATTTTCAATAGCACCCCGCCCGTAGTCTCTTTATTTTTAGCGATCCCGGATACGCGTAAGCGCGATCGTATCCGTCTCCGTTTCCAACATTTCGATCTTCCGGCCCCGCTAGGGGAACCGCCGTCGCTGGATTTACTTCGGCTTCGCGGAGAATACTAGGTTTCAACATTTAAAATTTAGATGGACCTCGAAAGCGTTACGAGCTGACCGAAACCGTAGGTAGCATGCGTCGAACTGGATAAACAGTGCGCTCCCGGTCTCTGCTTCCTTTTCACCTAACCGTCCTTCATTCGATATTCCCCGTAACGCCGAAGGATTTCCGGCCATCGTTTCCCAGTCCTGCTCGAAAGTCTACGTAAAAATGACAAAATACGTGACGGGCAAGCTCGATACGAACGCGTTCCTCGACTCGGCTCTTTAACGACCTGCCCTGCGGCTACCTGTGCACCTATATATTCGCGCGTGCAAACAATTCGATCGATCGCCTGCCGTACGTAATTCAATATAGTTCAAGGACTCGATTCAACGTTCCGCCTTCGAGTGTTCGTAAAACTCGCGGATCGATCGGCGCTTCGTTGCTTCGTTATTAGCTGCAACAATCTTTAGACGGGGGTGGATTTTCGATCAATCGCAGCAACGGTGGAGAGATTCGATAAACCTTACGAATCGTTTTTCTTGAATAAAATCGTCATCGCGATGCGATTTTATGAGAACGAAGTAAAAAGTTGACGATTTCTTTCGGAAGATAAAAAGCATTCGCGTTATTGAAGAGAAAGAGGAAATTTATACATGTATGAAAATATGCAGGAAGAGCGTAGATGAAATCAATATTTTTCGTCAGGGATTCGGTTCAACCGATGCTATTCACTCTTTTTTTTTTTTTTTTTCATTTTTCCCCAGTTTTTCCCTGAAACAAGTCCTCATGGACGATTGGGTCGGGCAGGCAAAACCATACCGACGCATTTCAATTAACCCGATACCCAGGTCCGTTCGTTGCGTTTTGCAACGTGTACGCGAAACCGTCATTGTGAAATATGTGTCCCATATGGGACGGTAGCAGGCTATAGGGTTTTAAAAGCATCCCAGAAATGGAAATGAAGATATATCGTGGGCGTAGAGCTCGGTGCCTCTGGCAGGCCTTGTTGTTTACGAGTCAACTTTATCGTGAAAACGTCTGTTCTTGGGCTTTTTCTTTTTCCCTTTTCGCCAGCATTCCCGCTCTTATTTTTCACTCGGCTCCTTCGAACTTTCCCGACAACGACCGTTTCTCTGCTCTTCCCGTTCTAATGAAACTCTAATGCCCGATGCGAGGCTACTCGATGTTAAGAACCCCCATCGTCCACCCTTGCCGCCTCCACGATTTCCTCTAACTCGATCGTTCGACCGTTTCCCCGATCGCTTCCACTTCTGCTCGAGTTTATTGTTTTCATCGGGGTATAACAGTTCGGCTCAACTATAACAAACTTCTATTTCAAGTACTCGTTACACGAAACACCGGTTAAAGAAGTTTTCACGACTTTGAACGGTTCTAAATTGGAGAAATTTTAAAGGTGCGAAGAGAAAGAATCGATTGGTTCTCGAATGATTTATGGAAAAAATATACTATTAAGGTATTTGCGTATCGAATAATATGATCTTCAAAAAAAAACTAACGATCAACGTTTCAGCACTAATGAAAAAGAAAATCAGAAAAGAACTCGATCAGTAACCAAGCACACGTATCGGGAAAAGACGATCCTGGTGGTCCTCTAATCGAGAGTAATTACCACTTTCAGCGATCCATCCGACGTAGCGATACCACTCAATACCCATGACATTCCACACTCACAGTAAAAAAAAAAAAAGTACATTTCACAAAATGAAACGAAATGAAAGGCAAAGAAAAAAAAAATATATATATGACAAAGCATCTGTTTAGAGAGTTAACGAGAATGATAATAACTTTTTAACGATCAGTGAACAAAGTAAAAAGCCATAGTCACCCCATCGTGTAACATATCCGCGGCCGGAAACGGCCGACTCAGTCTGACTAACCTTCGATTTCAGGTCCTCCTGTCGAGGTGGGCGTCACCATGTACGTCTTGAGTATCAGCTCGCTATCCGAAGTGAAAATGGTACTATACCTCTAGGTCTTACTCAGTCATTAAGCTGAAAAATCGATTACTAAATCATTCCTGATCGTTCGACTAAAACATCCCCCTTTTTCTCCCTTTCTTATTATTATTATTATTATTATTATTATTATTGCCCGAGCAACCATTTCTATTTTAGTGCCCGTGTATTTGAGAGAACGATTGTCGTCAATCGTTATTAGACCACGATCTATCGTCCACACTGTGCATATACACACAGGCACACGTATTCGTACAGTTCTATACGTGAAAGAGAAATCATACCAGAAACGTAACACGGAACAACAGAACTCGCTCCACATTCCTACACACTCGATGCATGCACGCGCACAGGAATGCATAGATTCCCCTCAAGCTCCGTCTTTCGTTCCCCTTTCTTCGACGGCATAATATTCGTGAAAGACCGAACCATACTTTCCCGATACCTTTCTTTGCCGCGCGCATGCGCGCGCAAACATACCGGAAACGCTTTGCCCTGGCAACTCTTTCCCGAAGGGAACGTCGCGGGATATCACGAGTTTTATGGAAGAAACGTTTTAATTCTTTTTTAACAAAGATTACGGATTTTTCTCTTGATCAAATTTGAAATTAAAATAATCACGTTCAGTAACGAAGAGATTAAATGAATTCTATTCGCGTTGAGTTGCAATGGAAGGACAGAAAATTCGGCAGGTTTAATCCGGTTCGATCGCGAAAGGAAAAAGTAGAAATGCTCGTGGGTGTTGTACGGAAGCGATTGCTGGTCGCTTGCTCGTTCGATCGTACGTGTCGAGGCTCGATTGGCGCTTCGTCGATGAAATTAGTTCGGTTGCCGTACACAGAACCGCATCGCCTCGAGCTGTGTGCTCCTTTGATCTGCTCTTCGTTTCGCGAGAACGCCTGGAACATCGCGACAATCGCGTAACACGATTACGATCGAACCGTCCTCGTGTTCGAGCTCGTCTTCCGCTCGACGTCCAATTTCTTGGCATGCTGCTCGACCAAATTTTCATCGATCGAATCGCGACGACCGATACGCGTTTCGTTTAATATAAAAATCGTCAATTAGTTTCGTTCTCGAGAGAGTAGTTGCAAATAGGAGAACTTAAAATGTATCCTTTAAAAAATATTTCGTTTGTTACACATATACAGGGTCGTATTCACTGAAAATCGGGAAATTTGTAAACGTTATATCTTGAAAATTGATTAAAATCGAGTGTATGCATAATCTGAAAAAAATATATGGTTCCATTTAAAAAATAAAACTTGACGATCATATCTCTTAAACTAATAATGCAAAAGATTTTTCACTTCGGCCAAAACATAGATCCCCTTTTCCCATGCAATTTCCATATCAACAATTTTTTGTATCATTAATAGTTACGGAATAGGAGCTCTGTATCCGTTTAAGTGAGACACCCTGTAGAAAGGACGGATATGTTTATTTTATCCCGCTGTACAACCAAAATGTATACGGAGCTACGTTTTCCCCCCTGCTTGAAACCAACATCGTATTCGTTCATGCATTTTACATGTTTCCTGGTACAGTGTAAATATAAATAAACTATTGTCCAGATTGCGGAAACCGTAACATTTTATCCTGTTGCAATATAAAAAAGGATGCATTTTACGTTCGAATATTAACACGTTCAGTGCCACGAGAGGTACCGGTTAAATTGGAGAAAAAAAGAAAGAATTCCAAATAACATTAACGTCGCGTTAATTATCTAAAGTAAATGAAGAATGAAAGGATCATAATTCGAATTCTTCGAATTATAACGCGTCGGGTGAAATAAGTATATTTGAAATTAAAGAGAAATTTAAGGAGAGTTGAACGCAACAAACGCATTTCAAGGGGCATAAACGTATATCAAAGTAGGTATATAAAATAATACTTAAGTGGCAGGTGTAAACGGTTACAGTTAGGAGGGTGGCTTTGCCAGCGCAACTTCGAAACTAACGAGATGAACCCAACTCGGTTAAGAGGTCTGACCAGCTTGATACGTTGCATTACGTCCGCCTGGTTACCATTAGTACATACTACTCCGAGTGTTAATGTCGAAATAATTGTGCGCGTGCATAGCACACCGACACCCGCACACGACACCGCGCGATAAACCACCAAACCAAAGAAGACAACCAGACACCGAGCCCCAAAAATGGACAAAGTACTATTTCGCGTGTGTGAAACGATGAGAAAGTGCTCGCATACCAAAACTAGGCTACACTCAGAAAAAAAGAAACAAAGGGGAAAGAATAAAATTTCTCCCAAAAAAATGAAATTTTATATTTACATGCAATTATTCGTTGAATCGTAGACGATCGATGGTTTGTATTTTCTTACACATTGCATAGTTCTCTTAGAAGGCACAAAAATTCTCTTGTATTTTATCAACTTTTTTATCGCTATCTCTATCCGACGAGTCTCTTCGACTAATTTTAATACGAATTCACTCTACTTCGAATAAACCTGAATATCGTTTTTCCGAGTGTAGACGAAGTTATTTATTTACTCACTGTCTCCTGCTTGTGTTACATCATACTTTAATTTATATATATATATTTTTTTTAAAATCTTTTCTTTAGCCTATAAGCTGTCTGAAGCGTGATATGCTGTTGTCCGAAACGACAGAACGAACGAACACTTTTGTTTCCTCTCTTACAGTAGAAGAATAGTATCTTGTTCAATTTTGGATATTACATAACGCACGAAACGTCCCGTTAGACAATTTTTTTAGACGCTAGCTGCTATGCCGCGGTTGCTGACATGGGCTGCCCGCCTGCCACCACTTATACAATTTATTATTATTCTCTATATTTTATAATTCCCGCCGACAGAAACCCTTGTCGCCCGAGCGCCCCTGACCCCGATCACCGTCACCGCCACACTACCTTCACCCCCCTCAGCCCCCGCCCCCGCCCCCGCCCCTGTGTCTGACACCGCACGTATCACACGTTCGTTTACGAACACGAGAATAGAAAAGTGAGAAAAAAGAAGAAGAGTTACCCAAAGGTTCCACGTCTCTCACGACGTCCACACGTACGTCCGATAATATAAAACCGATTCGTTTCGAAATTTCCTTCGATTCGATTCCATTTTACCATCCTCGCGACTTACGATCCGTACGGAATCGACAATCGCAGTGACAATGACAGCAAACATGCGAATTATATCCGTTTTCTGAACTCGTGCCAGACTCGATGAAGAGAAAGATAATAAAAACGAAAGCAAAGTAACGAAAGGAAAATCAACAAACACGTCGCTCGGGAAATGGACAGGTAAAGGACGGGGATTAAAGGGAGTGAAAAACACCGGGGAGAAACACGAAATAAAAACCGGACCGGATAGACGTTCTTTTTAGAGAGACCGCGATATTAATTAGATTCCGACACGATAACAACGGTGCAAGATGAGACACTTTCTAAAGGGTAACAGAAGTAGTGTCAAAGAGAATAACGAGAAAAGAATATGAAACAGAAGATAAAAGAAAGCGAAACAGAAAAGACGGTAGTCGTGTAAGGTAATATATCACCTTGCTACACGTGACTGTGATGGGTGTGTATATGTATGTAATAAGGATTATATATACATATATAACGGTCAAGTGTGAATAATTCTTCTAGCTTGGAAAACAACGTGGCCGACGAGTGCTGTTGATTTGGTTCCGTGCAGGGTGCGAGCTCTCTTCGACTTGTACGCTTGCATTTTACCCCTGACTCTCGTTTTCATTCAAATTTGGCAAATTAAATATAATTTTATCGAAAAAAGAATATTTATATATATATGTGTATATATATATATGGAATATAAAATGAAAAATAATCCCCCCTTTACGATTCTGCTCTGAGACACGAACCAAATCGCTCTATTCGTCTTTTTCTTTATCATTTTCCAGAGGAGCACAGCCTCGTGTCCGTGAGTCAGGGGTAGCACACCAACTTAACTGTTATAATTATCTACGTACAATCTCTACCTGTCACATGTACGGAAAACATAGAAACTAGCGGATAATCAGAGCGACCAAGGCCGGATGGTTTTGTTGATTGCAGGTCCACCAGTGGAGGTTGGCGTCACCATGTATGTCCTCAGCATCAGCTCCGTGTCCGAAGTGTTGATGGTACAGTTTTCATTCTCAAACTCATACAGAACTCACATCCGAACAGTTCGTTCGTTCATTTTCTTTCTATCTCCCTTACGTATAATTCGGTCGTCAGGTCGCGTGAATTTCGATCCTCCCTTTCTTTTCTATATTTTTTTTTCTTTCTCTATCGAATCGCAATCGAATCAATCGATCGAATTCGATCCTATAGATCGACGACGGATCTATCGTATCGAACGTATCGTTCGTGGGATCAGCTTTCGCCGATCGCGATACCGTTCATTCCACTATGCCGCTTGTTTCCGATTCTTTGTTTCGCGATTAAACGGCGCGCGTGGGTGTGCGTGCGCTACCGGGGCCCCGCGTGAAATATTCATCGCGAAGGAATTTTTGTAACCCGCGCGGTTCGAACGAAATTTCATCGTCCCAAACGAGAAAAATGTTTTCCCCGTTTCGTCGACGAGGGGGAGGGAAAAGAAAAAAAAAAAAAGAGGTCCAAGTATCGCGATCGATCGCGACGCGTTGCAGGGCGCGGAGGAAGGGCTTTCGAATCGCGGCGTGTACTTTGTATCCGAGTGGAAATTTTCGAGGAATTCTCGACGGGTGACTGGGGGTAAAACGCGCACCAAGGGATGCATAGGCATCGCGACTCGCGATATTTATGTTGGCAGCAAGGGGCATATTGGCACGTAACACACACCTACATATTTGCATCCATACGCATATACGTTCACGTACATGGATATACAAGGAGAGAAAAATACATACATAACGTACACGTACACACACTACACGGATGGCCTACTAACCTACGTTTTTATAGCTCGTCACAGCTGTTTGGTTGGCTGAACTGTTACAAGGGAACCTTGCTACGTTCCACAGTCTTCGCAAGATATATTCTTGTCCACTTCGTTTATGGTTTATGGTTGACTCGTTTAATTCGATTTGCGATGTTCTTGTTGCATGGCCCTACCCGCGGTGCTCGAATCGCCGACGAACTCGCACCCACCCCCACAGAAAAGAAAAAAATCGTATAAGTACGGTACCAACGGAAAAATCCGTTATAACGATTTTCATCGCGATGAAAATTTTTCTCTGATATTTTTCATCCAAATTTTTCTCGAAATTAAATTTTCCTTCGAGTGAATCGAATAAAGGAAAGGATCGCGATTCGAGCACTGCAGGCCGCACATATACGTTGAGGCACGCATATATACGCGTAGACGTACACGTACTTTCGTAAATCATAGATGTATACGTATATAAGCGTGTGTACAGCGTCACGTATGGTATACATGTATATATATCTAATATATATATATACACCTGTATATGTACATGTATATTTTCTTTCTCCATATTTAAGATACGTATATAGCGTAATGATATAACGTATTGTGTATTGCGTATACTCCTGTAGTATTCAAAGGTATGTGTTCCGGTGTCTGCAATCAGTTGCAAACTGGCACGTAACTGGATCGATTTCCATTTTTCTTCTCCGCTTGTTTTTTTTTTTTTTTTTTTTTTTTTTTTTATCGAAATATCTGGTCCACTCGGAACATCCGTATCCATAAATTACACAATTTTTTTTTTTTTTTTTTTTTTTTTTCGTCCATCGATACCGTTCGGTTATCACTGAACGAAACGAGAATCGGGACAACGTAATCTCGCGATAATTCAACGAGGGTCGTAAATCGAGATAGAGAAAGTCGAGGATAACTCGATCGAGATCCAGAGTGCGAGTTTGAAACTGAATGCACGAGACTGGACCCCAGGTGTTGAGCCCTGTGCGGAAACCAAATCAAGTCGACACTGTCACCTGGGACGTGACTCGCGATTTTTCTACCCGTTGGCGAGCCTTCAAATATACATTCCGTCTTCCTACCGAATCCTCCTATATCCTAGCTCGAATTCTCCTCGAGACCGGATCGGAACCGGACCATCGTTGCCGATCGTTCGATCGGAAACTGGTCCGGTTCCACTTTTCACGGAGTCTCGGAAGAACGAAGGCAAAGAAGCCAATTTTCCTACCAATTTCCACGCCCTTTTATCTCCCACTGTCCGAGAGTTCCATCGAACCAGCCGAGAAATCTCGCGCCACCCTGCAGGAAAATCTCCTCCCCTTTCTCCCTCTCCATCCCTCTCGTGAATTCTGGACAATCGGGTTTTTTATCAGACGGACGTCACGACTAACCAAACGACCAGAAAGAAAAATATGCAAAGCGAAGTGGGAAAGAGAGAAATCCAGTGATACGATTCGACGAGATACATGACCGTGTCCCTTTGCATCCCTTCTTATCCCTTTGGCCAGCCGACGATGATTTCACATTTAGAGAAACCAAGTGTATAGCTCGTGCTACGTTGCCACTACGATCGAGGCTATACAAAAAATGATATATTATTAACTTTTAGATATAAATATTGTTTCGTACATTTCTATTATGATATATAATACGACACCTATATGAGCTGTATCATTGTCAGTGTGTGCAGTACGCTTCTGGTCGCTATGAATCACTATGAGTATTGCCGTACACGTTCTAATTATTATCTATCTTTGTGTGTGTGTGAGAGTGAGTGGGTGGGCTTGTACGATCTTGTGTGCACATTAATACACGCTGGTGTGTGTCGCGAGATGCGTGCACGCGTACACAGACGAACAAGCCACTCGTCAGGGCGCAAACAGCACGATGAAAAAAAAAAAAAAAATAAAAATAAAAAAAGATATATATATATATTTATATACGTTGGGCGAACCGCGCCCTCGTACGAGCCTCTCTTTTGCCTTCCGTCATACACACGTTGCGTTATCTTTCTTCTTCGTTTTTTTCATTTTTATCTTTTTTCTTTTTCCAATTTTCAGTTTCGATTCGCTTTGCAAGCTTCTGCTTGGAACGCTTCTCTGTATATGTAACAGCTTCGTCACCTGTGCCATAGACGTTTCGTTACCTTCTTCTGGCTCGTTTCTTTCGCTCGTAGATCGTAGGCGAACGCTTCTCTGCTCGTCGCTCTTTCTCTCCTTCTCACGGATAGGTAATGTTTAATGAAATATCGTCTCGAACAGTGTATCGAAGAGATCGGGACCGAATCCATTTTGCAATGTTTCGTTTATCGATTGAAAGGTTAAAGTAGAAATCAATAATTTTCTTCTTTTACATTTGTTTATGAAATTGTCTAAATTAGCATTATTTCAAGCTTAGCCTGTATTGATTCATCCATTGATTTGTAATGATACGTTTATAATGTTTAGAGTTGATTTTTAGTGGAAGACACGTCACTCTCGAAAAATAAGAGCACACGGAAGAGGAGTATGATTGCAGATAAGTATGGTTGCGATAGTGTTGCAAATTGAAAGGTATCAAGCGTCAAAGAGGAGAGTAGGACAGATTAGACGTCCAGTGTGCATCAGGGCACGACTGCACTGCGCCTGGAGGAACGCCAAACGAAGCGAAGCTTGCTTGCCATGACAACTTCCGCTCGAAGTGACATCAACGCCACATTACAACGGAGTTACTTTCGAGCCCACTTTAATTAAAGTTACATCGAGAGAAACTGGTACCACTCGTATCGGATACCACTTACGCCGATGCTTCTACCTTCTCCAATTAATAACCAACGCGCAATTTTCCGAATCGCGAATTCTTCGGTGAAGTGGACGAAACCGGATATCGAAATGTTTTCCCAGGTTAACACCACTTCATGGGTTCGAACTTTGAGCAGAAACCCGTGAAAAAAAAACTCGTGCGGACGTATTAAATTTTGTTTGTACGTTTCGATGATTCGTTTGATAAATTCGATATAAATGTAGAGTTTTAAATAATCTATATTTCAGATACGCTTGATTCATGTTAAATATTCAATTAAAATTATAAAAAAATTACAGCTTCGGAGAAATTGCAATTAATACGCTGCCACTAATTGAGAACCGCTGAGTACAGATATTAATTTATAACACTTGATGAACGGGATCCTTGATAATGATCCTCTTTGTCCCGAATGAACGTTTCATACCGCACAATAAAGTATGCAGCGCGACTGCAAATCTGTTCAAATATCTATGCAAAGCCTATTCAGAAACTGTGGATCAAGCGATCGTGTTCGGGTGATAAGTTCCAATTAGTTGGCTTTGTCCAAACATGGAACAATGTACCGATCCGTTTCAATAAAATAAATATTGGAACTATATTTCCTTGGTGTTACTTAGAAGTTAAAGAGACATATAGATCATTCTTAACTGAAAGTGGAACTCTAAGCATTAACCCTTTGCATTGAATTATAATTAATATAATTAATACATAGATTCGTAGAAAATTTACAACTTTTTCTTTTCAAATCTGTCGCGATTTATTAATAAGTAATTAAGGGTTAAGATGAGCCAACTAATTACCAACAACACTATACGTTCACACGAGTTCTTTCCATTCACCGAAGCGAATTTCAGCCGTGACAATTGCACATTTATCCGGCAAGAAAACTTTCCGCGAGTTGAAAATGTCAGAAAAATATAACGTCTACATATACAGAGTCGATGATGGCGGTAAGCGTCGCCTCGGGTTGGAATCCTTCCACAGTCGCCGAGTGAGTGTCAGCCGTTATTGGAGCCGTAAAATGTCCAAGTTGCTTCCTAAAGTTTCCCAGATATATATACATCTCTCTCTCTCTCTCTCTCTCTCTCTCTTTCTATCGCGTACCATCGAAATTTCACACCTATAACGGTAGCAGAAAATTCCCGGAAGTTCGACGTTTATAATGCTCGTAAAATTTCCGACGTTGCACGGACGAATGTTACGAAAATGTAACGGAGTGAAAAAAAAGAAAATATGGGGGAGCAGAAATTCGTACACGGCTACTTACGAGCCTGGATTTATAACGGCGATTATTATTTATCGGCCACGAAACAAGCGAACGTTCTCTCGTTTTATTACTCGCTCAGCTAAATCAGAACTTCTCTGCTGGCGTGAAAATCATTTTCACGAAACTCTCGGAATTCGCACGGTTCGATTGCGAATACGTGCGGGTGAACAGGCTCGACAAAATCATGAAAGCATCGCTTCGACTCCAACAAATCTGTGTATTCGTCGATTACGATCGGTAGAGAAACGTTCGATCGTGTTCAATTGTGTACTATCTGTTCGATACACTTCGCTGGACAATGATTTCACGGAGAAGAGTTTTGGTTGATCGTTAACCCTAGAGTGGGCGAGTACTGTCTCACAAATGAACACAGGATGTTCCAAAATTTTATTTTAGGAATTCAATGATTTTCAGAAGAAAGGAGTTTTGAAACTTTACAAAAGAACACACACGTAAAGACACAGAATTAATTGTCATTGTAGAAAAATACTTTTACCTTTTTGAAAATTTCTTCTGGACAACCATCTGAAAATATAAGCAACGGATGGAAGTAGACATTGTTTCAGTTTGCAAAGTTTTCAAGTATTTGAAGTTTTAAAGTTGTTTGAAGTATTGGAAGATGCTAAGTAAATCTCAATGTCTTTATCGAATCAACTTTTATTCTTTTCTTAAGAAGGTTGAGTAAGACCAATGACATTTTATTTTGCAACCACTCTGATTGAACCACTCTGCGATGTGATTAATATTAAATATTTAATTGTTATTGAATCTGCAGTGTTCACACTCTAGCTAATTATAATAATCTAAAAAAATAAAATTTTCGATGGAAAAGGAGATTCAAAAAAGAATCCAACAAAGGACACTCATATTCGATTTAAAATCGAGTTAGTCTTTGCAATCATTGCATTTATTAAACTTTCATTAATTTAATCCCATGATTAATAAATAAATCACGCCTACTCTATGGTTAACAAAAGTGTAATAATTAATTAATAATCGGTGTCTGAAACGAAATGAATCAGCTTAATATTTTCACACTATAATTCCACCAACTTTCAGATCCTTCTGTGTACCGTTTGCCAAAAGTTCAAAGTTCGATTAGACAATAAGTATTCACTGTTTAGATCGAAGGTTCTATCTATGAGAACATTACACGTAGACAGTGCATGGTTGCTTGATACTCGTGTTTCGCAGCATGTTTGCACGTATTAGTGTCGCCCAAAGTAGCGATAGTCTGTGTATGGAATACATATAATCACCATATACACGGTCCATGCACCTTAACGCTTTCGCGTGTACACACGAATTAACCCTCGCGTCGCGAAACTACCCCAACCGAGATCGGTCACGTCGACAGGGCTTAATTACGAATTTAACCACCTACCAAACGACACGACTTGATTCGACTTCTGGTCATTTTCATACGTCGATTCATTATCTGTTGAAAATTTCCAACATATAACACGCGAGAAAATTCGACCTGATCATCCATCGTTTTAATTAACAAATCATCGAATGAATAATTAATACACTCACGATTTACGAATATTTAATCGTTCTTTTTAGAAAAGTAAAAAATTAAAATAAGAGAAGATGCACAATTATTTTCAATTTCAATCCTCCGAATCTTTTAAGCGTAAAATTCTTGAATGGGAAGAAGTTTCAAAATGTTAAGCAGTTAAATCTTGAAAGCTTCTCGAGGCTCGAACGCATCGAGTAATTAAACTTTTAGTAACAAGATGCAAATGCGATCAAATCTTTCGTTTTTTTTTTTTCTTTTTTTCTTTCTGTCGTACAATCGATAAGCACTCGGGCTTTGATAAGTGAACTTTTAATAGCGTCTTTGCCGGCTGGTGGAACTTGAACCGCGTTTAAATTCGCTCACTTGTAATTACGTCCCCCTAATAATAGAATAATCAAGAAACTTTAACGTGGAATGATAAATCTAACCATCGGACGGTGGTTGATCGTACTCGGCCACTTAAACTTTCTTTATCGGATGAATTTACTCGGCTTCGCGACTAGGGAATTGATGAAGAACGTCACGCCACGCGTTTCAAGAATTCATCGTCGATTTCGGAATCGCTATCGAAGTAATCAAAGTTTCGAACAAAGATCCCGTGATATTTTGACACCTGTAACATAACGATCGTTACACCGAGGGTAACACGTTCGACGTTAAATCCATTCGTTCTCGAACCGCTTCAAACGGAATCGTGTTCGTTCAATCGCGCGCCGATTCCCCTCTTCATGCGTAAAATTGTTTCACAATCTTCCGTTCATATGAACTCGAATAACCGACCGACGAAAATCGTTTGATTTTATGTGATTTTCAGGCTGACCTCGATATTCCCCGCAACGCTATCTCCAAATGTTTTTCATTTAAACGAAAGAACTTCAACGTTGTTTAAGCAAAAATTTTAGCAACGTGAACTTTCGTTACTGTCTCAAATTTCCATAAAATTGCCCTTACGGGAAGCTTCCAAGTAAACTGTTCTAAGCTCGGAAAATTCGTTGCTAACTAGGAGTGCGCGGTATTGCCAATTCTTATGCTAATCAACATTTACCGCGTGTAATTGTTAAGTAAATTAAATTAGATAAGAAAAAGAATTTCTAATAATAATGTTAATGATGTTTCCTATGGAAATTCAGGTGCCATCCAGATATGGAAATAAGATTCTCCTGGTACAATTAAAAAAATTATATAAACGTGTTCAAAGAACAATTTGTGTGACATTTCCATAGCACTTAAAGGGTTAATAACCGCACGAATCAAGTCGAGGTCGGCTCCCAGCGTGAGGTGAGAACGAAAGGCTCGAAGGAGGCTCCTCGGTAAAGAGTTACGTGAGTGTTCAAGTAGCCGATTTCGCGCGTTAAGATAACCACGACACGTGGTACGTGCCACGGAGAAGAGGACGATATCGTTCGACGAAGCTTTCGAGGCACCTGTCGACGTCCACGATCTCGGTACTGCGTTTCCTCTTCCCCATTACCGACCGCTCGAGCGAAACCCACCCCCGCCAACCCCCTTAATCTTATCCGATCGCGTCGCTCTTACGTTTCGTTTCCCAGTTACGTCTAGCTGTTTCCTCCGATCGTTTTAATCTCGCCATCGTACAATGATTTCTCGCGGGACGTTACATTCCCACGGAAACACGCTGAATTCTCCTTACGCCTGGAATAGTTCCCTCGCAAACCAACAGGAACGAGCACACCGGAAGAACGAGGAACAACTCGAAAAGATAATCGCGTTTCTTTACTACAGATTCTAGAAAATATTGCTGGCATTCTTTCACTAAAATTCAATTGTAATTGTTGTTATATCAACCATCGACTTGTAACTTTAAAAAACTTCGAACGATCTATCTGTAAAACATACCGACAAATTTGAATAAAACAAAATTCGGACACTCTGTATATATTTGAGGGTAAACCGAACGTATTCAACGGGAGATAAACCGGGTATTTCGAACGGACGACGTATCAAATAAATCAGCGAATTTAATCGACGCGAATCTATTTATTTGTATAAAACCGGGATCAGTGCGTGAGATAGAAGGTCCCCGTTATCCGACCATGATACTCTCATTTTATATATTTTTTTTGTCACGTTTTACTTTCCTTCCGCGCGTGTTCAGGAAATTCTGTTATTTTTAACGAAGGCATTGTCGCGTAATGCTGTTACCGTATACGTGTCACGTTTGCATTGTTCGCTTGATCCTCTGGACCGACCATTGTAATTTCTGGATCATCGTTCCCGACCGGAAATACCGTTCGACGAGAGGATTTTTTTACCCCTGGATCAAACAGAATTTGTTTGCTCGAGTTTTTTCCACGTTCTTCCCGTGGCCGTTCGCGAACAACGCGCTAGAAACACACATCACGATTTTTTGCGATGATACTAACGGATACCCCTCGTGTCTCGTGCCAGGACTTCACGCTGGATTTTTACTTCCGGCAATTCTGGACGGACCCGCGACTCGCGTTCAAGAAACGAAAGGGCGTCGAGACGCTGAGCGTCGGCTCGGAGTTCATCAAGAACATCTGGGTACCGGACACCTTCTTCGTCAACGAGAAGCAGTCGTACTTTCACATCGCTACCACCAGCAACGAGTTCATTCGTATTCATCACTCGGGAAGCATCACGCGTAGTATACGGTGAGTGTGAACAAATTTCATATTTATTGTAGACTAAATTTATTAGAGAAAATTTGAATTTGTTAAAGTACCCATCAGCTAATTAATTTTCTAATTCCCATGAATTCCAATTAAAGAAAAATAAAATTTGCATCTTCTATTGTATTATTTTATCAGAAATTTAATAATCTTTGCTAGAGTTAAAAGCATAAATTTTATCTTTATTATTAACTAAATTTATTGTGAAATAAAATTCGAATTTGTAAAAATAATTATCAGGTAAGAATGTCTAATTAATTTTCTAATTCCCATGAATTCCAATTAAAGAAAAATGAAATCTGCATCTTCTATTGTATTATTTTATCAGAAATTTAATAATCTTTGCTAGAGTTAAAAGCATAAATTTTATCTTTATTATTAACTAAATTTATTGTGAAATAAAATTCGAATTTGTAAAAATAATTATCAGGTAAGAATGTCTAATCAATTTTCTAATTCCCATAAACTCCAATTAAAGAAGAATAAAATTTGCCTCTTCATAAGTTTAATAATCTCTGCTCGAGTTAAAAATGTAAAGATTTCATTTGCAGACAATTCAGGGGATCGAATATACATATCTAGGACAGAAGAAACACGCGGGGCGTTTAATGACGCCGGATCTTAAGTAACTAACTAAAAGTAAAACGTTTAATATTTAACTCTTAAAGCTCTTAAAGTATCGAGCAACTTGGCGAACGATAAAATCGCTCCCGGCTGCGTAACCTTTTAATTATTTTAAGCAGGGTATATTTTCAGCCTCTTATCGTTCGAATACTCGGCGATATTGTTGCTAACTTTTAACCGAAATTTCACGCTAAAGTGTCGTTTCTTGAAACGGGGGGAGGACCAATTTCGATGCGAACGCAGAAGAGGTCAGCGGATACTTGGTTGCAGAAAAGTCAGTGAACCTAGAAACGGAAGGAAATTTTCCCGTAATGGAACGTATTTTCTCGTGCAAAGAGAGGCACGCGATAAAACTGCCAACTTCAGGCGCGATTTTAACCCCGATTCGAAACCCCGTACCATCGAAAAGCACCATCTAGACACTTGAGGGAATAGTTGTACCAGCCGCGACAAATTTGTTCTCGTCACACCACTTCCAACCCTTTTACCAATCCCATCGTCGATTTGTTACAAAAATAACACAAACCGAGAAAAGTAGATTTTCCTACTTTCACAAGAAAAAGAAATTTTATTCAGCTATGAGAAAAGTGTAATTTTTCTAACAAATATCATCCCCTTCAAAGGATTTCAGTAGTTTCAGACTGCTATATTCAGACAATCCATGCATACCTAACTTCCTTTGCACGTCATTCCCTTCGATTCAGCAAAGGAGGAACATTGGAAGAAGAGAAAATAAATTCCGTTCATTCGGAGTGAAATTCAATCGACAGCTGTTCCTTGAAACCACGGTAGAATTGGCAAATCGTAAGGGTTTCTTCTGTCCCATTTGAAATTTCCTTTCTATCACGGTAGAATCGTGAACTTGACATTCGTTCTGCTAACACTTTCTAAGATCTCTCAAAATTCATTGAAACCTTCGTTATTTTTACTCAGAGATAATGCAATTCCATAACCTTTTCATTTGTGTAGGTTACAGTAGATATGTTAATTTATTAAATGCATACACGTATTGGCTAATGTATGCGCATACTAATTTAATGAATAAATGCATTCGCGCGCAATGAAATTTCAACTTTTATTAGCAGAAGCATACATCGAGGTTGCGATAAACGTATGCATTTACTGGAAATGGTAAATTTAATTCCACAGTAAAAAAAATGCCAACACCCATTCATTTGGGGATTGATTAATGAGAACTCGGGGAAGGGTTAAACGAAAACGAGGAATCTTTAAATAGAATGTAAAGGCGATTTTCACGTTTTGTTTCAGTTTAACGATCACGGCATCGTGTCCAATGAATCTGCAATACTTTCCGATGGACCGACAGCTCTGCCATATCGAGATCGAGAGCTGTAAGTACGCACGTGTGCGTGTATAAATGCATACATACGAACAAGTGACGATCTGAGAAAGTTCGACACCCTCGCCTCCGTCCACTGTCACACAGACACGCTACATATACGAACATGAATATACAAACTATCCAAATATATCATTGGAGCATCAACAGTGTCGATCTTAAAAATGGCAATCGATGATTCTCGATATAATTTGAAATTTCATTGAATTTCTTTGATAAAAAGAAGACAAATATCAACAATGATTCGAAGAAGATATCGACTGCCATTGATTAAACGAGACTCAACAATACATCGCTTTCAACCCCTTTTTCAGATAAACTCAGAAAGACGCTTCTGTCATGCGTACATGCATCGAGACAATGAAAAAAAAAAAAAAAAAAAAAAAAACAAAGAAAAAGAAAATCAAAGAAAACCTCGTATGTTCTTCTTTTACATGCTCATACGAAATATCGTAACACCTACAACCCTATCACCCCCGTTTAACGCAACCAACAAACCGTTCCAACAATCCTCTTTCCCGAACCACCCCCTTTTCTCGCTCCCCTCTTTCTTCTCTATCTTCTCCTTCTCTAGCTATCTATCTATCTGTCTGTCTGTCTGTCCATCACTCGCCACTTGACACGCTCACTAACACGAATCAATCACACGATCCACGGCATCGTCGTGGGTCATTTTCATTCACTCCGTCCACTCACTCGCTCACTCACCAGCTCTCGCTCACTCTTATTGAGTTTTCTATATACCATTCACGATGACCGTTGCCATAAAAGTGGCTATTCAATTATTCCGAATATCTGCTGTCTTTTCATTGTTAAAGTGTCAATTTGAACGAGCCAGTATCGTTGCGTATGAGAAAAAAAAAGATGGGTTCGATTGATAAGGGGAAAAAATGATGATAAGACACGGGTACTTGCGATAATTGAATCTCTACTACATCGTGAATCTGCGGAACCGTGCTCGTGTTTTCGATCATGAATCATTAATTTTGATTAGAAATAATTAAAGTGATATACTGTGGGTTGCTGGAAAGGTGGCAAATGGAGGAAATTAGGATTAAATTAGTTCTATTTTTCTAGATCTATCGTTATTATCGAACAACGCGACGTGCCAAGCGAAAAATCTTTTTCAGCAAATAAAAATATTTGTCGTTCACTTTTGATCCTATCCAATTTGATTAAAACAGAAGAGAAGCTCCTGTGAAAGTTTCCTTTCAAGATGGGCGCTTGAAAAATCAGCTGATGCAAAGAAAATAGCCCACTTACTCCTGTGCCATCCTGCCAGCAAGTCAAAGTGGTTCTCGAGATAGAGAGAGAAGCTCTTGAAAAGGTATCTACGAACGTTGCGGTTCGATTGAACGGCGACTGTTTCGAGAGCGAATCAGGTGGTGTTTCGGAAACGTACAATCGAACAATTTCGACTCGAATCACGCGTCCGGTTCCGTCCAACGAGGCACAAGTGTTCGAACAACAAGAGCACCTTGACGAGAGTCGTCCGCAATTGCTAACCGACGATCGTCTCCGATCGGGACGCTCGTTGGCTACGCAATTTACATTATCGTTGACTTCAGCACGGGACGAGTCGGCGATAAACAGACATACACACACACACACACAGACATATACGGCTCGATCAAACGACGAGTCGCTGCTAATCAGCGTTACTAGGCTAGAGAGAATAACGAGAGGTTCTCGTAAGCGAGGGATGAGCTAAACACACCAGTGTACGGTGGCACGTACGGGGAAGCCTAAAACCAACCATCTGTGCGTGTGTGGGGTGTGTGACTGCGACAATTATCATTTTCTTTTAATTGCTTGCGTACGCGCGATTGCGTGCGCGCCTGCGCCGATCATCACTGCTGCAAATTGCACGCGAAAATTGGGTGTGTGAAACCGAAAGAGGATGCCCGGATGCTCTCTTTGATAAAACATCGACTACCCAAACGCTTATTGAAAAAAAAAAAATTAATAAGAACTCGCGGAAAATAATCGCGGTGCGGTGTCGATTAATTGGCATCGAAAACTTATCGTCGACGGTTCGAGCGTGGCTCGTTAGAAATATTTCTCATAAACTCATGGCATGGTAGTCGATTAATTCGTCGACGGTAATCGGGTTGGCGGTCTTGATCGTTCAACGGCCATTAAATCACTGCTCTTCTATCAATAAGTTCGGTAATTGTACCGTTTAATCCGCTGGCGGTTTCTACTCGCTTCGCCTAACGACGGGATATTATCGACGAGCAAACGCATAAATAAACGGTTAAACGACGCGACTAATAACGATCGAATTACGAAGCGATCGTCTCGCGTCAGAGGGACGGACAGGGGTTGCGATCTAGAAGGAGGAGAATGAAAAAGGATCGTGAAACGCATCCGGTACCTTTGATTACGTCGGTCTAGCCCCGAGATTGGTAATCTATACTGGGGACAATGGAAAAAGTTTCGGCCTAACTCGTTCCGGCTAAGAGATCTATATTAAAAGTCGGTCGTTCGCAGGATACGAGCGAAAGGCCGGCGGAAGTCGGACGCTCGAGATATCAAAGTAACTTGACCAAGTTCGTTGATTAGTTTCACCGAGTAGAAAGCCGGATCGTGTCTTCGTCCTTAATTGCTCCCCGCTTCGTACCGAGCGAAATTATTACCGTCGTTAAAAGTATTTCTGTCCCGATCTGTCGCGGACCACGCATTACCTCCCCTACTTTCCGAGTAATTAACATTCGCGTAATCGTCGCTGATCCTTTCGAAATCACCTCTGCGATTTTATATAACTTTTTACTACACATTTAAACAGAGCGCAGTGAAACATTTCCAAATTATTTTTCAAAAATAATATTAATACTACTTACATGCCGCCCACGCTAATTATCCAAAACCTCCACGAACAGCTGAAATCAGATAAAATACAATTAGTATATCAATGATTTAAACCCGTTCAGGAAATTTCCCACGTTACAGTAAATTCTTGTAAACGAACATCGATCCCCTGTAGTTCATCTTCATTAATCCAACCTTATTCACCCGTTAAATTCCTCATGCGTCTGATTAAAACATCGACCGATTTGTAAATTCAAAAATTGACTCGCGAAAAATGATACATCCCTGCGCGCGAGGGTAGACGAGAGATTAATTAAACTTTCCCGAACACGATTCATTGGCGTCGTTATTTTTAATCTCGTTATCGTTCGACAGTAGCCGGATACTCGTTATTTATCGGAACAACGCGGCTCGTCAACGACAAGCTTCCAACCGGCGAATTTATTTGGTTCGACTGAAAAAAGAAAAAAAAACGAAAGACGACCATTGTGTGTCGGGCCAATTTATGATATCGTTCTGTCTGCGTAACGCATTAACGATCGTAATTACGCTTGCTAGATCGTCGACTAGAGGGGACACGTGCAATTTGCAGTAAATTCGAGCGACAGGTAGCGAGCTGGATCGCGCAGAAGTACGGTCGATCGTCGATCCACCCCTTGGCGGATACCGAGTCGACCGGCGTTCACGCAGCGAGGGCAGACGCATTTCGTGCTGCTTTTCACGGAATAAAATGAAATAGACCTGAAGAAAGGTCGATTTTCTGCATTCGCAATCAGCGTGACGTGAACGTGAAACGAATTTACGAGCATCCTCCGAAGGGTCTCCACTCTACCAATTCACCACTCTTGTGAAGTATCACATTGGTCTTAGCGAAATTTAGTGTAATTTCTCCGCACCCACGGTTATCTCGCGTTGAAGAACCCAACGAAACGGTACGTTTATTCGTAATAAAAAAAAAAAGAGAAAAGAAAAAAAGAGAAAAGACATATATCGACGGAGAAATCGCACAAAACTCGAGGAAAAATAAATCTACCATAGAGCACACGCACGGCTGTAAATACCAGAGGTTTCAAAAAAAAAATAAATAAATAAAAATAAATGAAATAAAATATAAAATACTGATCAAACCCGTTGGCTCCGACGACTAAAGTGTACGAACGTGTGCTACATGAACACCAAAGTCACTATATGCCACTGTCACAGAATCACCACCACCACCACCACCACTACCACCACCACTAACCATCACTATCACAATACCAAACCCCTGGCCCCTTTTGAAATTAAAATATATAAGCCTCCGACATATAGCACTGAGCCTCGTGTCCGGGGACGTAGTAAGGGCCGACGACGGCCAGCCCCGAAGGAGGCTAAAACACAGAAAACGACGTGTCGACTACGGTGCGACCGAATTAAAACGCATTGTGCATCTAGCCCAGCGCATGTAAAGAACGAAACGACTGCAGCATTTAGCCACGAGGTGACACCGTGGCCCCACCCCCCCCCAACCCCTTTCGGTATGCCTAATTATTCCAAATATGTATTATCTTAATTTTCGTTCCGTATACTCGTACATACCTTATTTCCAACCCCCTTTCTCTATATTTTTTTGCGTATGCTGATCAATAGACGTAACCAAGTAGTAGATGATTCCTTCATTTTTTTTTCTTTTTTTTTTTTTTTTCATTTTGACCTGGATGAAAAATCGTAAAGGCATGCCTTTGGCACGACAACATTTTGTTACGCTGTCCGGTCCAGGACCGAATGAATCTTTCTCGACTATAATCCACCATTAGTCGGCATCGAGTTTTTTGCTTCCTATTTTTCTTGCGCGTATCTTGACGACGCGTTCAACGCAGCTTGCATTAACGCTCGTAGACACGATACATTTTTATTTTGTGTTTAGCGATGTATTTGAATTAAGTATGGAGATTAGGACGATCTCTTGGAGCGATAAATCGTGATCTACGCAAAGTAATGCGATATTTCCTTATTTTAATTGGGTAAGTAGAAAACTAAATATATCAATTGTAGTCATTTCGATTTGTTTGGATCACGATGCGCCCCGTTGCTCCAAGAAATTTCCCTGACGCTCGTCCCTGTATTAAGTGTTTAATTAGCAGACGAGAAGACTAAAAATGCAGTATTTTTATGTTTAAACGTATCAGGGGATTGAATTCGTTGTTTGACGGTAAGTCGTGTTAATTCGTTCGTTTCGTTTCAAACGATTTCTAATTTTCGTTCGGAGAGGACCACCTCGATGGACGATCGTGGAACGCATAAATCGATAGTACGAATTCGATTCGAGCTATTTACGGGATTGGATAGTAACGTGATTAACGTACGGGGGAAATATTGCAACGGAGGATTTTCAACGGGAGTGAAAAGATAGTTAAATTCCGTGTTCAGAATTTGTGTCACTAGTGAAAGCACATAGCATGCGGCATCGGGAATGACGTAGAAAATTACGTGGCACGAAGCATGCGATCGTATATATTGCTAATTGCATGTACGTGTGTACGTGTGTGTGTTGGCGCGCGCGTGTACCAAACCACCACCTGTGTATTTTCCAAATCCCGCACCACCTACGCATGACGATGCACGATACTTTTTTTCTTCGCTTCTCCATATCTACTTATAACACTTTCCACTTATCGTCTTTATACCTAAACTTGCTACCATCACTATGATCCTCGATTTCTCTGTTATAATAATAACAATGCAATTCTCCTCTACTTACGGTATTCGATAAGTCACCGTTTCTAACCATCTCCCATTGACCCCACCACCCTGTAATGCTTAACGTTGCCCCAATCCAGGATATTTTTATCGAGAAACAATTCATTTGTGTATGTTGCACCAAAATTACGTGCGACGATCATCGGCGAAAAGAGTATCATTCGAAGATATATAGCTACGGGAAAGTCGAGTTAAAATAATTGAAACAGATTCGAGGAAATTCGAAACTTTGCTAGCTTACGTGCATTGTAGAAAAAAAAAAAAAATTAACCTTTTACTATTTTAAAAGAAAATACAAGGGAGAAGTTTAGAATTTAGTCACCGACCTAATCAAATATTATTACACCCTCTGGAGAAAATATTTTCTATCGTACCTCGGTAGACTGGCAAAGTTACGAAAGGGGAAATCGATAAACGAAAATAATTCAAATTTATTCGGGATCGTTGGTCGAACCGGGGAAAAAGAGTCTTTCTCGTAGATCGTTGAAACATTGGGATCGGAGCTGGCAATCGGCGCAAGCTGGAAACGACGAAGAACGTGCAGATAAATCTGTCGGGCGGAATTACGGCGTGGCATTTGCTCGGCCGAAAATGAGCAAACGGAACGGGGTGTGCGCGATAGTGTTTCCGTGTTCCAAAAACAAAAGCAGTTAATCTCGAATACTCGGTCGTGGATCGCTTAATCCACGTTTCGCCGATGTTCGCGCAATGTGGCCACCGCCGCGATGGAATGCCACTTTGGTGCCTGGAATGCGGTGTAACGATCGTAATCACCTAAGATTCAGTTACGGAGGAATGTTTCTCGGGCCGGTATGCGCGCGTTCGAGGCCGCGCCGAGGAATTAGAGGAACATAAATAGGTGCGAATTCCGATAGATCGCGGAAAATTTCACCAATTGGAAAACTCATTCTTCTACGATTAAACGATCTGTTCTAATTTCGAACGGGGATCGTCTTTACTTTCGTAAGGTACACCTTCCTTCGTTCCTTGCGGCCTCGATCGCCCAAGCTGACTCTACACTATCTAACATTTTTTTCTATTAATACAGCAAATTTTCTCATGGTATCCATCAAGTGATCGGTGTAATTAAAAAAGAATTATCAAATATTATTGTATGACAAAGTTCGATTGTTTTAGAACTAGTTATAAAAACATATTGTTATAATACAGTTTGTTTTATAACATTCTTTTGCTACATAGTGTAGACGCAGCTTCATAAACGATCAAAATTATGGACGTATGAAAAGCGAATCGTTGAACGTTGTTTCTTTTTGAAACAGCTGCTTCTTATGCGTCCATGATAAGCAATTTAAACGCTGCACTCGCGCAAAAATCTGGAATTACTGTTTTTTGATCGGGTAAAATGTTTAAGTGAAATTAATTCAGTCATTTCGATGGACGAGTGTTCTAAATCCGAGTTGAAATAATATAAATTGCAAACAAGGTTCTGATTAGATGAAAAATACAATTTTAGGATAGAAACTTGCATGGAATTTAAATCCTAATTACAATATTTTTTTGTACCTCTTTAAGTAAATTTTATCTTTGTTTATTTTTTTTCTTCAAAATACTATATTTTCAACAATAAATATTCAATGAAACCAAAGACATTAAATTTAGAAAGAATTGCAAGAGCGATTATTAGTTTAATTTAATATTAAACGAAATCATTTCTTTTTTCTCAAAAATTATAAAAATCAAATTAGAATTTATATTTCGACTCGATGAGCAAAGCTCGACTACGCCAAACGATTTTTGCAGTGCAGAAACGCACCTTAAGCCGACTTAAACGTGTGTAGAATAGACTAGAGTAGCCCAACGTGGTCTAATTGTAAGATGTACAGAATGTGTTCCATGTAGATGTGTAAATAGTAAAAAAAAAAAGAAAAAGAAGAAGAAAAGTAGAGGGAAAGCGGTTTAGGGTGCTCGGTTAAGATTTTTTGCTTCTTACCTACAAACTCCTACCCCGAATCAAAGCGACCACCCTAAGATGAACCCTTATTTTCTCCCGGTAATCCAACCACCTAAACACAAAACTTGAGTGTCTAATTATTGTATGTTAGAGCGAAGATATTTGTGTTCTTGTTCTCCCGGCAGTTGGATACACAATGCGCGATATTCGGTACAAATGGAACGCCGGCCTACAATCGGTCGGCATCTCGAACGAGGTGGAACTACCGCAGTTTCGCGTGCTCGGTCACAGGCAACGACATTCAACCATACACCTATCTACAGGTAGATATCCCCCTCTTATTAGTTCTTCCTTCTGAACTTCGTCCAGAGGCTCGCGCAGATGATTAATAATTGTATTGAATTGTTGTAAATTAATTGTTCACACGCCGTGTACACGCCGTATATACATAATACCATATGTATAAAGCAATCTTCTTTTAATCAATGATTCTTTTTTATCATTTACTTTTTCTGTATATACAATGTACTTTATTTTACATTCGTTGTTTGTCCAGTTTTTGTTCACCTTGATTCGCACCGATATGCACCGATACCACCGTGTTGCCTTACCGCGAACACATATGATTGTTCCTTGATCAGGGAACCGCTTTACCCGCTAGGACGATACGTCCCCGGGGCTAAACTCATTCGACCAATCGACCGATCGACTTAATCAATCGACTTCATCGATATTTTTTAATCCACGGAACAAAAGGACGAAGACGTACTTCCCGGTCATACGAATCCATCCCTTCCGACCTCCTTAATCACCGTTCGAGCTCGACCGTATACTATTTATCAATGCAATTCGTCGATTTGTTCTTTAACCGAAAGGGAAAATGAAAAAATTCTGATCTGCTTTGAATTCTGGGAAAACGTAGGAAAAATCTAACGTAGACTCTCTTGTCCCAGCATGTATTATGAAAAACAAGGACGGAATAAAGAAAGTGGTTAGATCTTTCCCTTACTATTTCTCTGAATCTTTAATGAAATGAAAATAGTATCGAGTCTAACTCGGACGCACTATCCACAACATCAAATCAAACCGACACGACGGGCTCTCAAAGAGACAAAAGAATAATAAAAAAAAAAAAATTATCGTAACCCTCTGTTTTCGATCGTGTCTGAGATCGACTACGAGATGAACGATGAAAAACGAGCAGAACGAATGAATTTCGCTCGCACGTGTTCCCTCACGTTCGTATTCGATCCTTGTCCACTTTTGTTAAGGGATGATAAATAAAAGGATGAACGGAGAGGGACAGATAGATAGAGAAGAACGGTGAGAGAGAGAGATAAAGAGAGAAGAAAGGATAAGGTGGGAATATTGCGAGAAGGAAAAAAAAAAAAAGAGATGGAATTGAAAGAATGAACGGACTTGTTGGGGTTTTGACGGGGGTGCGAGGTAAGTGGAGGCCCCCTCGGAGCTGATACGCGTTTGAGGGCTTCCGCGAAGGTACGTACCAACCGCGGGGGGTCTCTCTATTTTTTCAGTCGGATACACGATGAGGGACATCCGGTACAAGTGGAACGAGGGACCGAACAGCGTCGGTGTCAGCAACGAGGTCTCCCTCCCTCAGTTCAAGGTCCTTGGTCATCGTCAACGTGCCATGGAGATTAGTCTTACTACCGGTAACGTATCAATAGAACCCCACCCCCACCAACAACCAATTCAAAAAATAATTAACAATAATAATAATAATTCAATGATCGTTTTTAACGTAAGGTATGGGTAAGGTGGAGAGACACGTTTGCGCTATCCGATGTCCGCAGCCACGATGTCGTTCGCAGCAACGTTTTATTCTACGTTCGAATAATCGTCGATCGATCGATCGATATCTCTCTCTTTCTCGCGATTTTCTACATAAGCACGAACCTGGTGGATGTTAATCGGCCATTTCTTTTTTCCCATGCCGCTTGCTTCGTTGTCGCTTATCCTACGAATTTTAATCGTTTCCTTTTTCTATCCTTTCGGAATATTCTGTTCGAAAAATTCCAGAGCAAATCGAATGAAAGAAACTCTTTCTAAAATCAATTCAGCTATGTTCCGCGATTTTTGAAAATGAATTCTTCCTGAAATTTTTCGAATGGAATACATTCTCTACTCGTGAATAATTCTTCAGAGAAAACGTTAGATTCTCCTCGCGGTAGCGCTCCTCTTTGACGTAGTTCTACTACGTACTCGAAGTTAACGACCGGGCTCGTAACAGTGAAAGCCAGAGGCAATCAGGGTGGTTCCAAGGAAATCCTATTTTCCTGCCAGGAACGTCGCTGATTTTTCTGATGATCCGTAGCGGAGCGTACAGCTGTAAACCTGGACTATCTTTTACGGCGAACGAAGGAAGAAACGAGAGGAGCAACTAGATTTTTCTATCCACCATTTTGCCCACTCGCTTCCAGCTACGTATTTCCTACGGTACACGCGATCTTCTCGCTCATCCACTCGCGAGACCGAGCTTACACGTACAAGCACGCCACGCGCACCAGATCCATCAACGGCTAGAACTTTACTTAACATCTCGCCAGCCCTCGTGCATCCACCTATCCATCGCGCGCAACCAACGGAAACGATGAAAAAAAAAAAAAAAAAAAAAAAAAAGAAGGAACAGAGTCGGTGGCGAATTACCAGGTCGCATTTTCCCTGGTTTGGACTGATCGATGAGAGAAGGCAAAGGGGAATGTCAGAGAAAGAGAGAGATATGAAGGAAGTAAAAAAAAAAAGAAAATAAAGGAAGGACAGAGAGACAAAGGGAGAGACACAGAAAAAAAATGAAAGAAAGAGACATTTCATGGCGCCTCTCCGTCCCCCTGTCCTAACTGTCGATCTTTTAATCGTAGGAAATTATTCGCGGCTGGCATGCGAGATCCAGTTCGTACGGTCGATGGGCTACTACCTGATTCAAATCTACATTCCCTCGGGCTTGATCGTCATTATCTCGTGGGTGAGCTTCTGGCTGAACCGAAACGCGACACCGGCTCGAGTCGCCCTTGGAGTCACCACTGTGCTCACCATGACCACCCTTATGTCGTCGACGAACGCGGCGTTACCGAAAATCTCTTACGTCAAATCCATCGACGTTTACCTGGGCACGTGTTTCGTCATGGTGTTCGCATCGTTGCTCGGTAAGTTTCGTTAATCGATCGCACAATTTTCACTCCAACTTGCGCCCAGCTGTCTCTTACCGCGTAAAGGGATGAAAATCAGATATTGGTGACCGTTTGGTTTTCGCAGAATACGCGACGGTGGGTTACATGGCAAAGAGGATTCAAATGAGGAAGAATCGTTTCCAAAAGATAGCGGAGAGTATGAAGACGGCGAGAGAGAATCCCGGACCGCCAGGGGTGCCCGGTGATCACGGCGACCACGCGCCTAAGCAAACTGTGAGTGCAACATCGACCAGCCATTTCGCGCCCCTTTTGTCTTTCTTTCCAATTAGTGACTTTCTTTTGCCGTCGTCATTGCCACGCGTTCCGCCTTTAGACACACGTAGGTCGATGAAATTTCTAAAGATTTCACGACGAGCTAGAATAGCCTGTTCATTAGTGCAGATCAAGCGTTTATTTTCTTTCTCGCGATGAACTGGTTCCTTTTGTTTTTCTATTTTCGACGTACCATCGCCTTTTGCTGATCTAGTTTAGCCATCAACCATCTTTTATCCCACCTTTTCAGCCCCGATTCGACGACGATTATATTCGCGATATCGTGCGAGAGATATCGTTCGGTATTACTCTTGGAAAAAAAGAAACAAGAAAAGAGAAACGGAAGAAGAAAAAAAAGAGGAGAAAAATGTTTTTTTCACTCGAAAAACGAACGAGCCGCGAAAGGTCAAAAGCTAAAAGGTTCTGTGAAATGAATTCCCATTCGGTCGCGTTGCGCCGGGCCGGGCCTGGCCGCGTGGTTCGTGGCACGACGAAACGCGATGCACTATAAATTTTCTTTTAATCTCGGGAATTGTGAAACGAGAACGAAAAATATTAAAGGGGCGCGAGGGTGAACGGCGGCGGGAGGGTGGCGGAAAAGAGGCTGGAAAAGAAGGCGGTGCCGGCAGATGGACGACGAGGGTGGCCGCGTAAAAAACTGTCGCCGGGATAAGGCGTTTTAATTAATTCTCAACTGGATTAATTACTCGTTCTTTGACACAACGTACAAGCCGGGATATCTTCTTCTCAACGTCCACGAGTCGTTTCTTCGAGCTGCTTTTACGACTTTGAAAAAATAGCACCGCGAACGGACGGACATTAATGATAATTACAGGTAGAAAGAAGGCGAGTGTTAACGATGTCTTTGGTATCCTCTTCCTCTGTTTTCTTATTTTTCAAGCGTGATTAAACTCGAGCATGAAGCGCGCATTATAAGCGTGGCAAATACCTTCGTAGAATATATACAACGAATCTAATTACATTTCGAAACACGGTTCGAATGCGAAAGTTGGTGTCTAGGGGAGGAAAAAGGAATCGCGTGAATTGATCTTAAAGTCAGGTGAGTTGTCTGTAGATCGTTCTAACCCTTTCGTCACTAAATTAGACTAGAATCATCTATCATTTAGGATTGAAACTGATATGCAATCTAAGCATTTGATGTTGAAACTCATATGCAACGAAGAAGAATGCAACTCGGATGCATTTAATTTCATCTTACAACGTATCGTAATGGTATAGTTTGAATATTTTTCAACCGAACGTTCCCAAGGCGAAAGGGTTAAATCACGGCGTTAAATAACGAGAGGAATAAAAAAGAGAGAAAGAGAAAGAGTAGCCTATCCTCGATGTCGCATGCCAATCTACCAAAGTAAGGGGTTCTCCTGAAAGAAGGACACCCCACATCGAACTGCCGTGTCTCTTGTAAGTGGTCCCGTGTTGTCCAGGAGGTGCGGTTCAAGGTGCACGACCCGAAGGCACACAGCAAAGGTGGGACACTCGAGAACACCATAAACGGACGAGCCGACGAGGAAGCAGCGCCAGCGCCCCAACATCTCATTCATCCTGGCAAGGATATCAGCAAACTTTACGGTGCGACTAAATACATCGATTCTATCGAAATATTATATATATCACGAATCTAATCCGATTTTAACCCAAATAAAAGTGATCCGATATCCTTCGTACGAGAACTGAATTTTCCCAATAATTTTCCCTAATTTTCTTTCCTCTTTCCGCCAGGTATGACGCCATCGGACATCGACAAATACTCCCGCATCGTGTTCCCGGTGTGTTTCGTCTGTTTCAACCTGATGTACTGGATCATCTATCTGCACATCAGCGACGTGGTGGCGGACGATCTGGTGCTTCTCGAGGAGGCGAAGTAAACGCGAACAAATTGTTCGTTGATAGCGAAGGGAACGTGCGGTCAAAGACAGCTACGAAAGTATAAAAACGACAAACGGGGGTGGGATGGGGGGGGGTGAAAGCAATTCGCAAGCGGAACTAGAAATAGATCGAAAATCAATGTCCTGCAAATAGGACGGACTAAAAATAACGCTGTGATTAATTTGAGGCGAGTGGAGGTAGAGAAACAAAAAAAAGAAAAAAAAACACACAAAAAACTGTATAAATTAAACCGAGACACAGGCACGCCGGATCGACGAACAAGGAGACCAGCAAGAAACAGGAAGAGAGAAGAAAACGATATCGTTTTACCGATACGACGACGACGACGAGGGATGGAAAGTGTCGAGACCAAAAACAAGTGGACGAAGAACAAGTTGAACGAGCCTCGCTTTTGTGATTCGTTACGAAACCAGGGGATAAAGTCGGTTGCTGGTCAGACCGGTCGGACGAGAGAAAACCGTGCTGTGACTACTTTCGTGACATTCCAAAAAGCGTAGCACGCCGATCCGTAAATATCCCGTCGAAGTGATATTTCCCGATAAACGCGATCCCTCTCGCCGACGAACGCGAGATAGCAAAAGTGAGCAAAACACGAGGGGAACGAGAAATAGAGAAAATCGAGCGAATACCAGGAGCGTGCATACCTTTAAAACATTGCCAGTCTAGGTACCTAGGTCTTAAAAAAAGAAAAAAAAAATAAGAGAGAAAACGAAAGAAGAGAATACCTTCGATATAAACACTTGTCAATTTAGCCATCATTATATACATACATATATATATACATATATATATAGTAAAATTAACTACCCCGTACGGGGAGAGGAATATAAGAAAAGAAAGAAAGAAATTAAGGAAATTCGTCGACTCGAGACGACGAATCGGGAGACGGCCGATGGAGAACAAGAGGTTCGAAGAGAAGGTAGCTCGGAAAATGGCGCTCAGAGTGTAGATGAGATCGAGCTGAAACGAACGAGGAATCGCAAGAATCCCGTATACACATGCGAGACGGCGCGAGAGTGGACGCGTGTGTTCGCCACTGTCCTTACGAGTGGCTTTATTCGAGAGTGCGTGCGTGCGCGTGTGTGTGTGTGTGTGTGTGTGTGTGTGTGTGTGTGTGTGTGTGTGTGGTTCGCGTGGGTGCGTGTGCATGTGTGTGTCCCGCGAGCGCCAGGGCGCGTGCACGAGATGAAAAGAGCCGATGTGAAAGAGAACAAAAGAAAAGAAAAAGGATAAGGTTTTTATTTCGTACGAGGAGAAAGAAAAAATGAAAATCTAAGAAAACGGTTCACTACCGGAAACTGGTGCGACTAAATCCGTTTAAGTAAGTACGTTCTAAGTATCTACGTATGTAAGAGAGGATGCGTGACGATTAGGTAATTATACGTGCATAGACACACGTACACGATGATCCGCGGGTCGAACCCGGATCGGGGGAATTGAAAGAGAAGCCCAGGTCTGGTCCGCGCGATCGACGCGAGTCGCATCATTTCGAGGTAGAGCTGTTTCTCGAACGTCTTTTTTATTGCCACGAACGTTATGTGTGTCCGTTTCATTTTATACCACTTTTTTACCATTTATAGAACTCGTCGGACGAAGCGACTTTTATATTTCCGTCACCTCTATGTGTATGGCCGCGATCCTCCCTCGGAATCGTTGTAACTTCCGTGATATCGTCGCGGCGCGCGACCCTGTACGCGTTCGTGTACGTGGACCACGCTGAAAACGTGGGGAATTACTTTAGCTGGTATAAAACCACGTAGACCGCCAACCGTTTACGTAGAGATACTCTCCTGGGACGTCGGAGTTATTCCAATTTTCCGATCGACAACCGAAGGATAGGAGGTTAACGTATGGCGAGCGAAGGAGGGATAAATACCTTTCTTAGCCTTCTTCGTTTATACGATTAACAGAGGGAGAAATGAAACAGCTGAATTCCTCTGTTTCGCGGCACGCGAGTATAGGGATGAAAAACGTAATCGCGGATGGGCGGGAAGAACGAGAGCGAAAGGAGAAGGGTTGAAATAAAAATCGTCTCTTTTTCAACCCTCACAAGTTATCCCTCTGTCATAAATGTGGCTACCTAACACCTCTTCTTCCTCATTAAAGCTTCTATCGATAAAGGAAGAACGGAAGTTGCAGGAGAACAAGCGCTGCGATGGTTTACGTGGCAGGGTTGCATAAAGCGAACGCGACAAAACGGGCTCGCGATCGCGTTTATCTCGGCGCGTGGATTAGTTTCACCGTCGGCGCACAGCCGCGTACATGTGTACGGTCCTTCCGTAGAGAGGCCCTTCGCTTTCCACGTGCGCCTACCGTCGCTACGTTTTTCCCCCGAGTTAATTAACGCCAATTGTATGCCGTTCTACTTCCGTCTTTTGGATACCCCGCTGCAGCCTGTTCGCGTTTTTCCTCTCGCCTTCTCTCCTCGCGGTGTATACAAACGTACACGCGTCTCTACCCCTCTCTATTTCCCTACCCTTCTATTCTCTCTTCTTCTCTCTTTCCAGCCCTCTTCTTCCTCTCATCGTTCCTTCTCGCTTCTCTATCTTCCAACGTGGTTGCCGACTGCAGACTGGGTCGTGGAAGCTTGCCATTCAAGATATCGACCAGCTGACACGCCCAACCCACCCTCTACCCTCTGTGTCTCTGCTATAATCATCTTTCTCTCTTCCTCTCATCTCCTATCTCTATCTCTCTCTCCTCCTCTATCGGACCAGCTCTTCGCCGCGTCGCGTCGCGTCGTTCTTCTCCACAATCGCCAAACAGTCCGTTTGCCAGACGCTCTTGCTCATTGTGCATTTAATAAGGAGCTTCTTGCCTCGCTACTCCGCGAGAATTCTTTATAAAAGTAGGTAATCTTGCTCGAGGATCTCCTCGCTCGCCATCCGCCCTCGAATATACGGGAAAGAAAAAAATCATGTGGCCGAGGGAAGTTCGTGTTTGACCGTCCCGTTGTACCACGTTCGACCGAGAACAACGGGACGAGTGGTGTGTCCCTTTCTGAATCGCGCGGATCGTTTGTATTATTTGATATATATTTCTTTTTTTTTCTTTTTTTTTCTTTTTCGAAATTTCGAAGAAATGAAAGAAGGAAAAGAAAGGGGAGCAATCGATTCGGTGGCGAGGTGCGACGGGACGCGAATCGACATTTCTTATCCCTCGTTCGTCTCTTCGTTCTGCACGTGTTAAATGATAGAACGTAAGTTATATCGACGATACTTCCACGTCCGCCCCACCGGAAGCATTACTAATGCAATTTATATATGTATAATTGTACATCCGTTATCTACTTGGAGTCTCTATTCTTAGCGAGGAAAACGAAGGAAATGAAAAGTGGAATGGAACTAGCGTTTTATCGTTGTGATATATTCTATAGTGTCTATATGCATTTATTCATACGTATAATCCACGTATGCGTTTATGCATACCCACGTGTTTGTACGTATGTACGGTTATAATACGTGTGCCTATTGTTTACGTTGGATCTACGAACCGTGGTGCGAGATCGTTGCGGAGGAACTGGCGCGTCACGAAGCCGAACGACGAGGATAAGCTCTTCCGTAGCTAGGCGAACATTATTAACGTTAGGCAATTAATCTAAGCTAAGGTGTTACACATCTACGTAACGATAGAACGAACAATGGACCTTCATACGTTTCATTTATTTACAATTCGCGCGGCGCCTCTCCGCCAATACGACGAAATTAGAATCCTCGAGGTGCACGCGACCATTCGAAACAACTAAATTACGATACCCGGAGAATCGATCAAGCTAATCTCCGATAAATCACACTCGTGTACGCTCCGATATTTCCCGCCCATTTCTCGCTAACACGATTACGAATGTACATAGGCTTATCTGACACGTTTCCACGAAGAACGGCAGTGCTGGAATTCCTTCCAAATGGCGTGAAATAGAAAATCTCTTAGATACGTATGAAATGTTTGGAAAAAAAAGGTCTAAGATTTTAGAGATTTATTCGAAGAAACAGAAGATATTTAACACAAGTTTTAAAATAATTTTAATAAATTCGTTCCTGAATAGGTATCGTTAATTCCTCGTTTCAAATTGCAAAGAACACGATTGAACAAAAATTGATATTTGGAACGTATGTTGCACTTCTGTTCTTTCGAACAGAAACGTGTTAATTACAAATAATTCCTGAATTCATGGTATGTATACTCGCGAATAAATCAGGGTTCCCTGGAAAAAATGCTAATGTCCCGGGTTCTCACCCCACCCAGTAAGCACCCCAGTGCACGAGAGAGGATCCCCTATCTATAGGTCTGTGGCAGACCATCCCTTACGTGTGAACGTTTACACGGGAAAATTTGAATTATTATTCTATACTAAATTTTATAATATTTAGTAGTTAAAAATTAAATTATTTTATTTCTAAATCAGTTTTAACATTAATATCGTCAAAATTATTTTTCCTAGGAAAACCTGATTCGATCGCGAATGTAGATCATCGACGATGCACACTTGTATCACGAACAAGCTGACGCACGTGTTAAACGTGCCTTGAAAAGCGCGCCAGTTCCTCCGAACCGGCCACGGTCAATTATTATTATTATTACTATGATTGCTATGATTATTATTGACTATTATTGATACTATTATATATATATATATATATATATAAACGTTTTATGGAAAAGAAGAAATTTACGACGATCTCTGTCCGCTGGCAGGATGAAAGACAAAAATAAGAGAGAAATGAAAATGAAAAATATGATTTACGTTATCGACGATCACTTACGTATATATATATTATATATATATATGAAGAAAAATAAACATGATCGGGTATTATGTTACCAAAATAAATGGTATCTCGTTGATTAACATCTCGGTATTAAAAGAATGATAGAGGAACAGTGAAATCGAATAAGATTAAAAAAAAAAAAAAAGAGAAAAACAATGAAAAAAAAAAACGTGAAAGAAAAAAACCTATTAATACTATACAAATCGATCATCTTGTAAATACGAGTTTTATACAGAGCGATTGTATTCGTTAAAAAATGAAAACAAAGAAACAGAGAGTACCTACCGCGAAGTAATATTATACATATTATATATAAATATATATACGCAAATGTAGTGCACACGAGAATGTGACTGTTCGCACATATTTAGGTAAAATCACTTTTAAAGTATAGGGAGATTAATAATAAAACAAAAAACAAAGTAGACTGGAGGCACGTCCGGGGACCGAAATGAGTACGTACGTTCGTTCATTCGTTCGTTCATCGAAAACGTTTTCAATTATTAGCAAAGAACGATGAGAAAACGCGCGATTGCCGACCGAGAGTATTTTCCAAAATCGACGATTCGATCGAGCAACCTGGACGAAATAACTAAATAAAAATAAATAAATAAATGAAAAACGACGATGCCCATGACGTTCGAATCGATTTCACGGTATTTCAGCGTCGTTTAAAAAAAATATATATAATCCTCAAGATACTCGACGAATAGGCGCAAAATTAATTTCTACACGATTCTAAACTATCCAAGGATCAACGAATAATTTTGCACGGTGATTCGCGTATCTTGGGACGTGTAAATTGCTCAAAACGAAGCTTCACGATTGGCGAGGATCGAGAGCTCTTTAGACGGTGTCCACGAGTTTCTCCTTTTGGACCAAAACAAACCCAAAACATCGTTTTCGCGTGTTGGTTACCTCGATGCCTGCCAGTCCGTTTCTCATCTTGACTGACGCGAAACAAAAAGAGGATACCAACGAGAGAAGAACATGTTCCTACCGAGCGCGAAGATACTTTGTTAAATCGTCGACCAACA